CTGCTAACCACAAGATGGCTGCTGTGCCGCATCAACTGATGGTCAACTCTGCTTGCCAGAACCGCCTTCCTGAAACTGTATTCCATGGAGACTCACCTACAGTTGCGGAACTGCACGAGACCCACACTTGATCCAACCTTGAATGGAATCTATTTTCCCTATTGTTAAAAACTTTGGACTCGTGACCCCTCTCCCTCTACTCGCAGGTATCGCATTTTCAATGACCCCTCTGGAGGATAGCTGTCTATAGCAGAGATAGAGTAATTGGGAGAGGGGGAAAGGGCTGAGGGTCAAACATAGGATAAAAAACATATTTATATGTATGAAAGTAGAAATGGAACAGTATTGGTGACGACATGCTTGATTAAGACACTATGTAGTTTATCCTAGATGGGCAACTACACTTGGTGTGTTGTGATGATACTCAGGGAATGAGTGTTAGGCAATATAATTTAATATAAAAAAATAATAATCAGGAGGGAAAAAAAATGCACATTTGATGACTGAAGAGAGTTGTATGGACACAACTGGGGTCTACTTTATAGTATGTTCATTCTACTCCCTGGGGTTTATGCCTAGGATCAGATTTGGATACATGTGTAAGGATATGTCAGCTGTGCTAGCTAGTGGATATACTTAGACTAATTGAGTTCATTGGTAGAACAATTGAATGGGGGGGGGCGGAAGCCATTGAGGGCAATCATGAATGTCAGGGACAATGGAGGAGGAAGATGGGACATGGCAGAGGGTGGGGATGGGGAACCTAGGATGGCAAAACAAAAGGCAAGGTATGCAGGACACAAAAATTGGGAAATCATTTGCTGAGAACATATATGTTGATGTGCTTGATTGAGCCAATGCACAGTGTGTTTTGGATGGAAAATTCATATGTGTGTTGTGATGAGAAAAAAAAATTTATAATAAAAAACAAAGTATAAAAAAAAAAAAAAGGAGAGAAGAGGATAAAGACAGCAGTGAACAATAGAGAGGCAGGATGTTAATGAGAAATAGATATGGTTTATTACCTGTTGATGATGACATGTATAGTATTCTCAACTGAACCGGTCTGGGAAGTATTTCATGATGGGTGAAGTCTTTTTAATAAGCAAAATGAGAAATAGTGATTGATTGTTTAAAAAAATTATAATAATAATTATTGGGAAAAGCATGGAAAAGATATTGAATGATAAAGCGGGGAGATTGATATCTCTGTACTGACATGCATGGCATTCCCTTTTGAAAAAGCAATGGAAGTCAATGTAAAGTTATATGTAATCTAGTGTAATAGAAAGAAGATTATGATGATAATAAAAAAAAAAAAAAAGTTACTTTATTTAACTTTGTTAATTTCAATGTGACCAGAGAGGGACAGAGTGAGAGAAAGTGAGAAAGCAAGTCATCAGGTCTGGGATTTGAACTGTGGGGTCAGTCGTGTGGGAATCCAGTGCCTTTAACCACCACACCACCTGAAGGCTCCTTAAATATTGCTCTTTTGTTCCCTACTTCATTTATTCTCTGGTCTTTACTATTTCTTTTCTTCTGTTTTTTCTGGATTTCATTCGCTCTTGCTTTTCCAGCTCCTTGAACTATATTTTTAGGTTATTTGTCATGGGTCTATTTTTTTTTTTCTTGTGAGTAGTAGTTGCTCCAAGTTTCCCTTTTACTGTTTTCAGTGTATTTCAAAGATTTGAGAGTGCTGTATTTTCATTATCATTAGTTTCAAAACATTTTAAAATTTCAATTTCTCCAGTGATTTTAAAAATATCTGTAGTATATTGTTTCATTTCAGTTCAATAAACATTCATTGTTCAACAAACAGTACACTTGTTTCATGTATTTGTGTTTCCAAAGGTTCTTTTTGTTGACTTTAAGTTTAATTCCATTGTAAACAGAAAAGATGCTAGATATTTCTATTCTGTTACATCTGTAGAGACTTATATTTTGCCATTACAATGTGGTGTGGTGGTGGTTAGGTTGCTGGACTCTGCACATGGCCGACCGTGGTTTGAATCCTAACCTGGACCTGGTGGCTTACTTTCTTGCTCTCCCTCTTTCTCTACCTCTCTGATCAAATTTAAAAAATTAATAAATAAAATTAAATAATTGTTTAAAAAACAAAAGTGAAACGTAAGGCTCTGCATCTTGCACTAAGTACCATGAAAAGAGACATAGTGCATAGTAGGCCATTTTTGAAGTATGCTATACATTTCATTTAAATGTATAAATACTACATATTTTTGAGTGGGCTACTTCAAACTATCTACAGAGTCCACTAAGATTCCATTTTTGAGTAGGGACCACAGTAAGACAAGGCTCTGTAGCAAGTTTTATTTATGATACAAGCTCTACCACATGGGTTTTATGAGCCACCTGATCATAATGATGACAAAGTATCAAAGTATATAGGGATATTGTTTGGAGCCTCTGCCAAACAGAGAGAAGACAACAGAATCACTGAGAAGACCTTTGGAATTTTGGAACAAACCTATACTTTCTTCTGAAGATATTTATTCTTTTAAGGAAATTTCTAGCTTACTACTGTGCCTTGGTACAGACTGAATGCCTCTGTGGGACAGCAGATGATCACGTGGCCTGGGGTTACTATAATGTAAGTGTTGTAGATCAGCCTCAACACAATCTTGGCAATGCACAGCAGCAATCTATCCTGAGAGCAAAATGGTACACAATATACTGAGCTTGCTTGGGCAGGCATGGAAGGTAAAAGTAACATAATTTACATAAACACACGGCTCCAACTTTCTCAATACCAACTTGTTTTATTGTCTCCTTTCCCTCAATTCATACTTAGGGCCTCCTGAGATGTTCCTAACACATGGGCCCATTAAAAAAAATAAATAAGGACTGACAGGTGGCACGGTGGCTAAGGAGGCTGGACTCCCACATGGCTGACCGCAGTTCAAGTCCCAGACCTGGCAGCTTGCTTCTCACTTTCCTTCTCTCTCTCCAGTCAACTTAAAAAAAAAAAAAATAATGACTATGAATAAAATTAAGTAATTCTTTAAAAAGGAAAAAATCAAGCCTGGTTTACAGATGGGTCTAAATGGTATGCTGTTTTTACCCAAAAGTGGACAATACCACCCAAGGGAAGGATGGGCCTACATGGTATATTGTTTTTACCCCAAAGTGGACAGTACCACTAAAGGGTGATCCTGAAGTGCAGTGAAAGAAAACCCTCCCAGTGTGCCTGTTTGAATAGGTTGCCCACCATGTGAGAACTGAGAGATGGCGGATCTGCACAAATTCAAGGGCAGCTGTTAGGGTTTGACTGGCCTGGGACTTGGAAGAAAGAGCATTGAAAGGCTGGTGACAAGAAAGTCTGGATCCATCTGTGGCTGGATCTCACAACTGCCATAGACTGTGAATGATGTTTGTATCCTCTTAATGACCATCAAAAGGCATCCCCAGCAAAGGAGGCCCTTCTTTTCTTTTTTAAAATTACTTGTCATTATTATTTTAATTTGACCAGAGACAGAGAGAAAGGGGAAGTGAGAAAGCAAAGAGGTCTGAGACTCATGCAGTCAGTCATGGGGGAGTCCAGCACTTTAACCACACTACCTGCTGGCCCTAAAGGAGGCTCTTCTTAATCAAGTTGGCAAAATGTGCTCTGAGGTATCACCTAGTCTCATTCCCCAGCTAACCCACCGCTAGCTCAATGGGCCTATGAAAAATGTGGCCAGAATGGCAGGGACAAGAGGCTGTGAGCTCAACCAACATGGACTTCTTACCATGACTGACAGGTGCTACCACCTCATCTGTCAAGAACCCGGACCAGTACACAGGTCACTCTGGATGCCTGCACTTCCACACTGAGTAGCAAAGGCTAATTAGAGACAGTGACCAAAGTAGGAAAGACAATTGGATGACTTGGACTCTGGTAAGGAACCGTGACCAGCTAAAGTTCTCGCTGAAGGCAAAAGAACTCAGATAGTAGGAAGCCATTGGTTTATAGAAACAAGGTCTGTAATAGCTTTGAATATATGCCATTCCCTCTTGTTTATTTTTATTTCTATCCATTTTCACTTTCGCATTTAAATTTTATACACAATGTCTTGGAGGTTAAATTACAGTTTAGTGAGACCAGCAGATGACATAGCGGTTACATTGCAGGACTCACACATGGCCTATCACGGTTTGCATCCTGGGCATCCTGGACCCAACTGGCTTAAAACTCAAGCTGGGAGTCCCCAAGATCCTGGCAGGAGAATGGAGAAGGGATTGTGGTATGCCCATCCCCCCTGGGGGATGATTTCTCACTCTGTCTCTCTGGTGAGCGCATGTCCCCTATAGCAAGAATCTCTTTAAAAAAATTTACAATTTAGTTCTTAGGTAACAGCACTGACAGAATTTGTGTTGTCAACAGAAAACAAGGGCTGTTTACCAGTACAGATAGAGAAGGGCAACGAGAAGGGACTGGATAGTAAAAGTAGACTTACACATTTATCTGTGTCTTTAAGAGGGGCCAGAAGGTGGCTTGGTGGTTGAGATGCTACATTTCCACATGGCTGACCATGGTTCAAGTCCCAGACCTATGGCTTAAAAATTACACTGGGTGCATGTGCATGCCCAAAATCCTGAGAGGTGACTGGAAATAAGATTGCAGCACGGCCACCCCGGGGGGATAAATCTCTTTTCCTTTCTCTCAGGCAAGCACCAAAGTGTTGGACTTCCACATGGCCAACTGCAGTTTGAGTACCAGACCAGCAGCTTGAAACTCAAGCCAGGTTCATGTTTGTGTACCCAAAATCACAAGAGGAGAAAAAAAATTGTAGTGTGGCTGTCCCCCTAGAGGATAATTTCTTACTTTCCCTCCCTACATGTCTCTCTTTGGCGAGCACATGCAAAAACCTTAAAAAATAATTTATTACTTTACAAGTTTTTTAGGTTTTAGGACCAGCAGTTGGCCTAATGGCTGTGTCGCTGGACTCCCATGTAGTCGACTGCAGTTCACGTCCTGGACCCAGTGGCTTAAAACTCACGTCGGGCATGTATGCGTGCGTGCCCAAGATCCCAAGAGATTGGAGAAGGGATTATGGTGTGGCCACCCCCCTGGGGGGATAATTTCTCACTTTCTGTCTCTCCGTCTCTCTGTCTGGCGCGTGCATGCACCCTATAGCAAAAACCTCTCAAAAAAACCCCCCCAAAAAAACAAAAAAAAGCAAAGGCACCGTATACTAATCATGTAAGGGACAAAAACAGACAATGGTTTTTATACTTCAGATTAAAGAGGGCAGACACGCAGTCTAAAAGAATTTACCAATAATAGCTATACTGGTAATTAAAAAAATAATAAATTTTCCTTATTAGAAACATTAAAGTGTTAAAGAATATCCTTTAGGTGGAAGGAAAATATCAGTGGCAACGGCTACCTTCATAAGTAATGAAAGAGTAATTAATGGGAAAATAAACAAGATCTCTTATTACTATTATTTTTATTTTATTATTTTTGGGAGAAGTTTTTGCTAAAGGGCATGTGCACTCACCACAAAGAGACAGAAAGTGAGAAATCATCCCCCGGGAGGATGGCCACGCCGCAATCCCTTCTCCTCCATTTTCCTCTCGGGATCTTGGGCATGCACGCACATGCGCCTGGCGTGAGTTTAAGCCACCAGGTTTGGTACTCGAACCACAGCTGACTACATGGGAGTCCAGTGACATAGCCATTACACCAACTGCTGGTCTCTATTACTATTACTTTTTTAAAAAGCCTACTTTGAACCCCTTATCAAAATAAATACTTCTAGTGATGTTTTAAGGAGTCATTAAGCTTGACGCAAAGTTTTACACAATACTTACCAAGGCTGACTCTCTATATATAGGTAACAGATTTCTAACCAAAATTCTCAAGTCTACCCTTACAGGCTTAAGGCTGACAGAGGAATATTTACTTCTTTCTTCTTAGTCCCAATCCATTGATTTAATTTTGCCTGTACGTGGAACAATAGAACTAGATTTTACATGCCAACATGTGGCTTGATAGTTAATATTTATACCAAGCACTCTGATTTTACTCTATATGCAATCTGAGGCAGAAAGTCACAAGTGTTTTCAGCTATAAAAACAGATGGTAGTCTCATAAATTCTCGGTTCACTGTAAGAGCATTTCTGCCAATTTGTGTGTCACTTCCCATGTGCGTACCAAACCTTCCCTCCAGCTATCATTTCTAAGACTCTGTTCTTTGCTGATGAATACATAACCTTAGTTATCTGCTAGTCCACAGGAGCAATAAAAAACCGAATAGACAACCTACCCTAAATGAACTAATAAGGTTAATCCACTGGCATTAAAATGTCAAAAGTCAAAATGCAAAAACATTTCAGTCAATAGAGATTAATTCAATAAACATGTAGATTTATTTTAAGTCAATTTGGTACATGATAAATTGGTTTTGCAGTTTTGTAATGAACTGAAATAGGAGTATCTAAATACAGCAGTATCTGCCTGTGCAACAAGTATCTGTAAAGTAAATTAAGGTATCTGAAAGAACGGTATCTGCATGAACAAATCAGATGAAAAATCTGAAAAGGTTTCTATATATCTTCTGGATTAAAAAAACCCAAAATTATTAATGGCTCAAGATACTACACTGCTAAAGGAAGGGTAGGAAAGTCTGCAAAGGCTGTGAGTTCTGTGGCAAGAGCTCTTTAATAGACTTGAAAAAGCAAGTGTCCTATTAGGTGTTTGTTGTTAGAGCAGTGTTCAGAATTACAGGAAACGCTTCAAGTCATCTTCATAAAATTTGTTTTGTGTGTTGACATTACTGTGTGGCAAGGAATTCATATCCAGGTAGTGACGAATTGTATCACTGTAGCTAATTTTTACCACCTTGCAAGGAATGGAAATTCTATGCATTTTCAAATGAATCTTAGATTGCTCACTAAAAAGTAACAGCCATGGCACCATTATATATCTTGTGAGGTACCTAGAATATTACTACTAATGGAAAAACAAAGATGTGAGGTAAACCTATCTTTTCCCCAAAACCTTTGAAGCCAGAGATTTTAAACAATTAAGGCACTTGAAAACATTAAGTATATGTACAAATGTGCAAGTAAAACAAACTTTAGCTGTACCAGCAAGTAACAAAGAAAACAGTAAATCTTCATTTTATGAATCTAAATGCAAGAAGTTTTGGTTAACGAACCAAAGTAATTTGTCATTTTCTAAACTCTAAAATATTGAAGTGCTAAACTCAGCCACTACAGGCTAAAGAAACTAAAACAAAACAAAACTAATGACCTAGAAGAGCAAAAGCCCATTTTAAACAGACTAGAGCCTCTGAACTACTCCAACATGTCAGAGGCAGGGAGATGTAACCCTCTAAAATTGTAAAAACTGAAAACAAGCAAGAACAAAAAGATCCCTAGTACTTAACAAGAAAACTATAGAAATAAAAGTACATCTGCTTACTTTCAAATGCCATGGGAACTGAAAACAAAAAGAAGAAAAGAGAAAGAGAAAGCACCGTCTACGTATCCAGGCTATCATCATTTAAAAAATCTACATAATCTTATCAAGCAAAAAATTCTGAAACTTTCTGAAATCACATTGGTCATATTTGCTGTCTAAAAACTTAAAATAACTGTCTGGTTTAAAGAGTCAGTAAATGACTCTAAAATAACTTAGTTCCTTCTTGACTCATGAAAGTTACTTTTCAAGAAAGCTTGATGGAAATCCTTTCAAGGTATAACAGTGTCAGGAGACTTTTTTGAAGCACAAAAATATACATATATAATTTAATCAACTTTATCTCTTTGACTATATTAATGTTGAGAAGTTCAATATATGGAAGGCTTTCAACTCTGTATACTATCCTCCAGCTAAAGTTTCTCAGCTTGAAATAAAGTTAGGTTAAGTTTTCAATGAAGTATTAACCAGTATGATAACTAAAAGCAGGATTACTACTACTCACACTTCAACAGTTACTTCTTCCAACCAACTTTTACTTTTGTTAATGTGAAAGAATAAATCACAAACATTTTAAGTTCTAGCCTACCTTTCAGACTATCTTTTAAGGCACTGTCTTTATTTTCTCAATGGTATAAGGTGCTTTACAAGTATGAACAATAACCTGTTTAACGCTAATAGTTTGTATCCTTTCCATTCATTTCTTTCAATCTGGAATGTAATTCCCTGTGTGGCATCTTATTTCTAATGTAGAAAAAATAACTTATCAAGCACAAGATTTTTTAAGGATACCGTTTAGGACTACTAAATTTATAAACTTATTCCACTTTTTAAATGATAGTCAAAAATCCACCTGACTGATGTTAATTTGGCACACTCTCAATTCTGGTCACTAAACTACACCTGGAGTTTGGATGAAAGTGATATAGCTTTCAGGCTTTAAAACAACTCAATTTAAACTGCCAAGAGTCATGAGGTTGTGTGCACATTTCCCATCACTTACAGAAAGTTACATTTGGCATGTCAAGAAAGAAACAATCCCACAGCAGCAGCCATTTAAAATAAAAGAAGACAGCCACAAGGATTCATGCAGAATATTGTAAGTATTCCTGTTGAGCAAAATGATTTAACTGATTCTCCTTCTGGATGATGTTCCAAATATCCTATATGTATCCTTTGGAAACTTAAAAATCCTGGAACAGCATCTTCCATGTGGGACTTCTTGAAGCATATTATTTTGGTTTCAGTGAGTTACACAAATGAATCACTAGTCCTTCTTAACTTAATGGGTCTGTTTACAGAGTGTGGTAATTTCGTTCTTTAGATTTGCAGAACTTATAGAGAAAGAAAATTACAGCCTGAACACCCAAAACAAGGACGATTCCTCCAATGAAACTGGCCGCATCAAAGGTAGATTTCCGCGCAGGTGGTGAGGTTGGAGTCAAAGTGGTGTTCGTTGTACCTGTTACAAAAGAAATAACCCTTAGTAAGTCATGAAATCTTCATCCTCTCAGAAGAAATAAACATAAAAAAAAAAACAAACACACACACACACCCGGACATATCTGCAATTAACATTTTCAACAAGCAAAATAACTTCTAAGTAAAGGTGTTGATAGGATTCTGTCAGCAAATTTTACATTATGAGAAAACTTATTAAGTAATGTAGAGTAAGAATATAAAAATTTTCGGGACCAGCAGTTGGCATAATGGCTATGTCGACAACGGCTCAAGTCCCTGACCCGGTGGCTTAAAACTCACACTGGGTGTGTGTGCGTGCATGCCCAAGATCCTGAGAGGAGAATGGAGAAGAGATTGAGGCATGGCCCCTAGAGGGTGATTTCTTGCTTTCTGTCCCTCTGTCTCTCTCTCTCTGGCAAGCACTCATGCCCTATAGCAAAAGCCTCTCAAAAAAAATAAATTTTTTTTTTTAATTTTTCGTATTTTGTAGGAAGTAAAACACTTCAGACAGACTAAGAAAGCACCATCTGGGGCCAGCAGGTGACATGGTAGTTAATGTGCTGGAATCCCACATGGCCAACTGTGGCTCAAGTTCCAGACCTGGTGGCTTGCTTTCTCAATTTCTCTCTCTGGTGAGAACACATGCCCTATTACAAATTAAAAATAATTTAAGGGACCAGCAGGTGGCATGGTGGTTAAGGTGCTGGACATTCCCACATGGCCAACCACGGTTCAAGTCTCAGACCTAGGGGCTTGTTTTCTCACCTTCTCCCCTGTCTTTCTCTGGTCAAATTAAAAATAAATTAATGAATAAATAAAGTTCAATAAATAATTCTTTTAAAAAATTTTAAACTTAAATAAATATTTCTTTAAGAAAGCACCATTTGGGAACCAGCAGTTAGCGTAATGACTATGTCGCTGGACTCCCACGTAGTGGACCGCTGTTCGTGTCCCGGACCCAGTGGCTTAAAACTCACGCCGGGCACGTGTGCGTGCGTGCCCAAGATCCCAAGAGGAGAATGGAGGAGAAGAGATTGCGGCGTGACCATCCCCCCTGGGGGGTGATTTCTCGCTTTCTGTCTCTATGTCTCTCTCTGTCTGTCTGGCGAGCGCACGCGCCCTACAGTGAAAATCTCTCCCCCCCAAAAAAAGAAAGCACCATTTGTTAGTAAAAAAGCAATTTCATGTTTAAAATAAATTTTACTTTTTGGTTAACAGAATATCAAATGACCCAGTTCAGTGGCTATAATTTGTTTTTGAATTAATTACAATTTCATATTTCTTCTTATGAAAATGGAGTGGCTTCAATAAAACTTAGAGACAGCAAAAGCAATCCCAAATGCGGGTAAAAGATTCACCAGTACTGAGACAAGTTTATTTTAAATATGGATAAAGGGATGAGCTCCTCCCCTGTGTACCTATGTGTCCTGTGGTATAACATAAATATAATTTAGTTTACAAGACATCGGATAGTTAATAAAACAATTTTCACGTGCATGTAAGTTACTGAGGAACGTAGAAGCAGTATTCAAAAAGACTGTAAGGCACACATTTAGTAGTGATCGTGGTTCTTCAGACCTTTCTCAGTTAAAAAAGCTAGATGCTGCACTCAAATTCTCATGGTCTAATACTGCACACAACCAATTCCTAACAAGTAGCTAAAAATTAGACCTCACGTACAAGTTGTACGGAAGACGTTTGGGAAAAACGTTAGTACTTGATTCTGAGCTGTTATGCCAAATGTGATTATACATTAAGAAATAAGAAGACTCTTGGTAACGTAATCATGATTGTTTTAAGATATAATTTGGTCCCTTAAAAGTAAAAGATGAGTTTCAGTCCATTAATATTCATTAAAAAAACTGGTAAATGATGGTAGAAATAATGAGGCAATACTAAAAACATCACTGTGAGTTTAAAAAGCTTTACCTGTTGTAGTAACAATGACGGAAGTGGTAGGAGAAGGATGGGTTGTTGTTTTAGCTGTAATGAAAACAAAATGTATTTTTAAAAATTTAAATTTCTAACTTCCCAGTTATCTAGCACCTTTTCAAATTAATAGAGACCAGCAAATGGCATAATGCTTATGTCACTAGACTCCCACACAGCCAATCATGGTTCGAGTCCCAGACCAGCAACTTACAACTCACACCAGGTGCATGTGTGTGTGTGCTCAAAATCCCAAGGAGCATAGAGAAGGGACTGAGGCATGGCCATCCCTCCTAGGGGGTGAGTCCTTGCTTCCTGTCTTTCTGTCTCTCTAGCAAGTACTCATACCCTATAGCAAAAATCTTTCTCTAAAAACAAAATAAAAACAAAATACTACCAAGACAAGCAGATGGCATAGTAGTTAAGGCGCTGGACTCTCACATGGCTGAACATGGTTTGAGTCTTGGACCTGGCAGCTTGAAACTCACACCAGGTGTGTGTACATGCATGCCCAAAATTTCAAGGAGAATGGAGAAGGGAATGTGGAGTGGTAATTACCCTTGGGGGTGATTTCTCACTTTCTGTCTCTCCAACGAAAGCACACGCCATATAGCAAAATGCTCTCTCAAAAAACTACTACTACTGACTTTAATATGCTTTCAAATTCTTAGAGAATCACTGCCTCTTTCTGTGCAGACAGCACACCCGCAAACACGGTGACCATCCCTAAAACCCGCCGGACCTTCTGTAAGAAGTGTGGCAAGCACCAACCTCATAAAGTGACACAGTACAAAAAGGGCTTTCTCTGTATGCTTAAGGAAAGAAGCATTGTGACAGGAAGCAGAGTGGCTATGGTGGATAGACTAAGCCTATTTTCCAGAAAAAGGCAAAAACTACAAAGAGGATTGTGCTGAGGCTAGAAAATGCTGAGCCCAACTGCAGATTTAAGAGAATGCTGGCTACTAAGAGATGTGAGCATTTTTAACTGGGAGTAGATAAGAAGAAAAAGGGTCTGGACAGCAAGCTGTGTGAAGACCTGGAGAGACTGAAGAAGATACAGGCCCATAGAGGGCTGCGCCACTTCTGGGGCCTTCGGGGCCGAGGCCAGCACACTAAGACAACTGGCCGTCATGGCCGTACCATGGATGTGTCCAAGAATAAATAAGTCTGTAGGCCTTGTCTGTTAATAAATAGTTTATATACCTATGGCAAAAAAAAAAAAAAAAAAAAATTCTCACTTGCTCTCTTAAGGAAAAGCAACACATACGAGCCACAGAAACAGACTATTCCTAAATGCTTGGGGTTTTTTTAGTAAGTGTTGTCTATCGATGCATTTTCTGCATCAATTTCTTCCATTTCACAGAACCAAAGAAAGACTAAAGACTCTTAGTAGTTCAGAGGATCCAGGGTGGAGTAAGCAGCAGAGAATAACTGTTTAAGAGCAGGCCACATTGAGACCAGCAGATGGCATAATGGTTACGTCACTGGACTCCCATGTAGTTGACCTCAGTTGGAGTCCCAGACCTGGCAGCCCAAAACACTGCGGGTATGTGTGCATGTGTGCCCAAAATCCACAGAGAGGACAGTGGAGGAGAAGGAATTGTGGTGTGGCCTTCTTGCTTTCTGTCTCTGTCTTTCCAGAGAGTATATACACCCTATAGCAAAAAAAACCAAAAAACAAAAACAAAAAATCTCTCTTAAAGACAAATGTGCTGGCAAGTGGTGTGGGTAGTTAAAAGCACTGGACTCCCACATGGCCAACCATGGTTCAAGTCCTGGACCCAGTGGCTTGCTTTCTTACTTTCCTTCTCTCTCTCTCACTGGCTGATCAAACTGGAAAATAATAAAAAAATTAAATACAACGATTCTTTAAAAAAAAAAAAAAAAAAAAGAGCAGCCCACATTGATTTTGGGGAAATTATCTCCTCCTCTATACTGTTTACATTTCGCCTTTTGGAACTTTGTCTGTGCTTAACACTTTTTAGTCAACCTTTAATATGCCTGTTGGTCCATGATTTGTAGTGGATATTAGAAGTTTGAGCATTGTTAACACCATGCAACAATCAGCTCAAATACAGTTCTGCAGTATTTGCAGGCACCTGTGGCATGAATACTTGCACTGTAGCAGATGTCAAGTTACTCGCAACTAGCTAGCATGAGCTGGTCTGAGCCAGCTCCAGTCAAGTCCTTCAGAACCAGTTCTTGTCCTTGATATAGCACAACCACTCCTCACTTAATGATCTGCTGTTTAACAACCACGGGACTTACGACAGTTCTCCAACACAGGGAATCCCCTTTCTCAGTCAGTCAGTGTTCACTACATGAAGCACTTATCATCACACAAGACTATATTATTTCAATTATAAACCTGTACTATATTATGCACTCACGGTATTAACAATAAACAAAATGATAAAAAAAAAACCAAAAAACAAAAAACAAAAACTTAAGCCAACTGAAAAAGCAGCCTCTGCCTCTGCACGATTCATTTTCCTGCCAAGTAGATGTGCGTGGACTGCCAGGACAGTAACAATAAACAAAATGATCACACCAGATTTGTATTATTGCATTGTAGTGTGTCTTGTTGCTTTCTAGCACTTATTTAATGTATACTTTTTATATAGATAGAATTACACTATTCTGCTGTGGCACCAATTGAAAATACATGGGGCTGACAGGTGGTGTGGTAAAGGTGTTGGACTTCCACGTGGCCAACTGCAGTTTGAATCCCAGACCTGTTAACTTGCTTTCTCACTTTCCCTCTTTCTCTCTCTGGTCAAATTAAAAATAATAATAATTAATAAAAATAAATAATTCTCTTTTTTTTCCTTTTTTTTGGAGAGGTTTTTCTCATTGGGTGTGTGCGCTCACCAGGTCAGAGAGACAGAAAGAGAAAAATCACCCCCCCCAGAGGGGATGGCCATGCCGCAATCCCTTCTCCTCCATTCTCCTCTCGGGATCTTGGGCACACACACACGTACCCGGCGTGAGTCTACGCCACCAGGTCCGGGACTTGAACTGCGGTCGACTACATGGGAGTCCACCGACATAGCCATTATGCTAACTGCTGGTCCCAAAAATAAATAATTCTTAAAAAAAAAAATAAGAGAAAGAAAAATACATTACCTTTTGGTACCAAGACACACCACAAGATGTATGGCTTCAAGCTCCTGCCTTACCTAACCAATTTGCTTAAAGACCTAGTCATAGATCTATACCCACGCAGTGTTTCTTGGAGACACTTCTTTGGACTTTCTTACTTCCACGCCCATCCTTATTCGGTTTCCTCCTTAGTCCTCTTTCTCCCCTTAAACATTACCATCGCCCGGACTCTGGTCCTCAAGCCCGATCCTCCACTCTCTATGCTCCCAGAGTAGTATCTATGACTGCCTAAGCTGACTGCCTTCTTTATATTTTTAGCCAAGAGCTCCCTCCAGATCTAGTTACCTAAATACTTAACAGATCGCACTTAAATGAATTCTAGTCATCTTAACCAAAAATCCCAAATGACAAGACGAGCAGCTGAAATAATGGTTATGTTGCTGGACTCCCAGGTTCCAGTCCCAGAGCCAGTGGCTTAAACTCACACCAGGTGCATGTGCACATATGCCCAAGATCCCAAGAGAAGAATGGAGGAGAAGAGATTGTGGTGTGGCCATCTCCCAGGGGGTGGGGGCAGGGGTGATTTCTTGCTTTCTGTCTCTCTGGTGAGCACATGTACCCTGTAGCAAAACTCTCTCTTAAAATCCAAATGACATGACCAGCTGCTCTTCCTCTTCCTTGCTTACTTTGGTGACAACTCCTCACCTTTTCCTTATCACTCTTCCTTCCCATCTCCTCACTGGTCAAGTCCAAGCCTTCTACTTCCTTAAACCTATCATGTAGGTCTACAGCTCCTCCCCTATTTGTTCTCCAGAATTACTGTAACAGGTTCCCTAATGCCATAGAGTCGCAAACTCCTTTAATTTTCACTCTCCACAATACCAGAAGTCATATCAATTAAAATGTATATGCCCTACATACTTAAAAATCTTTCCAGATAACATCCACGTCTACCAGCAAGACATACATGGGTGCTTCCCTATCCTCTTCTTGACTTGAATGTCGAGCTTAACTCTTTCTCACCTTGTGCCAGACACTCCTTGACCTTGTTGTATCTGTCTTATCTCTTCCGAATGTACTGACACACTGCTCTATCTCGGCTAGAAGGCTTTCCCCTATTTCACCAGTGTGTACTTTTCCCCGCTTATGTTAGAGACATTTTTGTTATAGGGAGTGTGCATTCCCCAGAGACAGAAAATAAGAAATCACCCCCCAGGGACGTGGCCACACTGCAATCCCTTCTCCTCCATGATCCTCTCAGGATTTTGGGCACGCGTGCACACAGACACACACACACACACACACACACACACACACACACACACACACACACACACACACACACACACACACCTGGCCTAAGTTTTAAGCAGCCATGTCCGGGACTCAAACTGCAGTGGACTATGTGGGAGTCCAGCAATGTAACCATTACGTCAGCTGGACCCACCAGCGTGTAATTTTAATCAGCTGGGCCACCCAATACATACATCTTCCTACACATTCCCCAACACGACTGCTCACTGACTTCTTCTACCCTTTCTACAATACACAAAATGCTACCTTCTTTTAATCTCTACCATTTAGCCTAACACTTATCTTGGGGTAGTTGCCTTTAATATTTTAAACTGTATTTTTCTATCAAATTAGATTTATTTCCCCAGAGAGCATATGTGTTTCCCAGAGAAAAACAGAGAGGGAGAGAAAGAAAGCACCCCTCAGTTGGAGCATGGTGACATCACAATCCCTTCCCCATCCCACTGAAATGTTGGGTATGCACGTACACCCACTTGACAGCTTTTTATGCCACTAGGGTTGGGATTCAAATTGCACAGTAGGCCATGTGAAATCCAGCTTCCTCAATCAACCAGGCCAAGGGCCAACCCTAAATTAGAATTGTAAAGGGTAGTATTATCTAATGCTATAAGTGGTGGAAAGTTCTCCTGTTATTATTGATAGAAACAAAATTCATAAAGCTTTCTAGAAAATAATAATTACAGAAAGCCTTAGGGTAATCATACTATAACCCAATAATTCTGTTTCAATCAATTGTATCAGAGATAAGAATATAAGTCCCTATAAGATGGTCACTACATGGAGAACAAGAGATAACCTGTTCAATCAAGAGAACGATGAGTAAACATGTGCGACAATGTTCACAGTAACTGGAAATACAAACGTGCACAAAGGTATAATCCACTGTCGTAAAAAGGATATTTGTTTACAGATACACACAGAAGGGACTACAAGAAATCAATACTGTAAACATTCTAGTGTACCTGTGAATGATGGGAATTATAATTTTCTTTAGGCTTCTGTATTTCCCATAATTTCCATGAAACATAAAAAGCAGTTTGTAGGCCCAATGTAAAAAAGCTACAGCAAATCTGCTCAGATTCATGAAATGCACAGCATTGGAGTTATGTATTACTGTTAAGAGACACTACATATAAATGTAATTATTATGGTCCAAGGTTTATAGTAACAATTTTTAAGTATTTAATTAAGAAGGTATCTACCAAGAAAACTTAAAATTCTAAAAGATAGAGAAAGAAAAGAGTCAGTCATCTTGATTTACCTGTAGAATTGGATGTCGTCGGAGTAGCAGTTGGCTCTATTTAAAACAAAACAAAACAGAACAAAACACTGTATATATCAAATCTAAAAGATCACAATCTATAACACTATTTATCTACCTGCAATCATTTGAGTACTATTAACAATTTTTATAACATTTAAAGTACTACCTGTGGAAGAGACTGACAGCTGTCCTCACCTTCCCTTCTTCGGAACAAAACAATTTTTATTTTAAAGCCAGATTTCTGCTATAGGGTACGTGCGTTCACTGGAGAGACAGAGACAGAAAGCGAGGAATCCCCCCCGCCCCAGGGGATGGCCATGCCACAATCCCTTCTCCTCTCAGGATTTTAGGCATGCATGTGCTTGCACACGGTGTGAGTTTTAAGCCACTAGGTCTGGGACTCAAACCAAGGCAGACTATGTGGGAGTCTAGTGATGTAACCATTAGATCATCTGCTGGTCTCAGAAGCACCAATTTTTAGTGACACCTCTCTTCACCCAACAAAGATGTTTCTTAGCCTCCCTTGCAGCCAGAAAGCTATGGTAACTTTTAGCAAGCATCTTTAAGATAGATATGAGGCTCTACCATTCCCTTCCTCTTCCTGCTGGCATGAAAAATCAACGTGGGAACCAGCAGTTAGCGTAATGGCTATGTCGCTGGACTCCCACGTAGTCGACCGCGAACCGCGTCTCGGACCCGGTGGCTTAAATCTCACGCCGGGCGCGTGTGCGTGCGTGCCCAACATCCCGAGAGGAGAATGGAGGAGAAGGGATTGCGGCGTGACCATCCCCCCTGGGGGGTGATTTCTCGCTTTCTGTCTCTATGTCTCTCTCTGTCTGTCTGGCGAGCGCACGCGCCCTATAGCGAAAACCTCTCAAAAAAAAAAAATAAAATAAAATAAACGTGATGGCTGGGACATGAACATGCACCTTGATGAGCAATGTCAAAGTAAGTCATTTTTAAGGGATTAGGGTGGGAAACTAATGGTTGTCGAGTTGCCACTCTAGCTCTTCCTTTACGTCAGAGAAATGAATCTGTCCACTATTTAAGACATTGTAATTTGGATGTTTATATCCTTCACAGCCAAAACTAATTCTAATCGGTATATCAGCAAATAAGTAGCATTACTTACTCAATTTTTAAGACAATGTTTTAAGAAATATTTTACTGAATCCTGTCTGTAAACAATATAACAAAATCAAAGGTCTAAAAGTTATTAATTCTTACTAACACACGTTGAAATAAGTAACTATTAAAAATGTTTATTCATGTACCACCTAAACCATATTATGCACCCTATATAAGGTAAAATGCATGTAATATTAATGACATTCCCAGCTACAGTGTTGAGATGGGAGGGATAGGGAACTTCTATCATAACTAAATAGTTAATGGTAGTCTTTCAAGGTTACTGACACACTCTATAAAAATCTTTTGGTCTATTTAATTACCTATAGACCGAATTAGGAGACTTACTTTCCCATAATTCATAATCTCACTGGAAAAATTAGCTGTTTCAACTAGGAATTTTAAGAATTTGCTAGGTAAAAGAATAATGGTTAGAGAGTAATCAAGTTCCTCATTCATGAAAATAGATGAATACAGAGAAGGTTCACTTAACTATAGCACAAACTACGCTGGAGAGTAAATGTGAGATCCCAGTACCATAACCAAAAAGTGCCAGAACCAGGCTTGTAAAAATGTAAATAGAGAGGTTCTGAACTGCAATGAATTCCTGGAGAAGTTAAGGATAGGAAGCACCTACACTAATAAATATACTATTCACATTTAAATCTCGAACAAGAATTACAACACTTGAGACAATGGTTTTCCATATCTCGTGAATACTTACCGTAACAGAAATCTGACCCATTCACCACATGACAGCCACTAACTGTTGAATTACTGGAACAGTAGGGGCTCTTATCTGTTAAGAGAAAAAAAGGCAAACACCACAAATCACTGATTTATATTGTCATGGACTTTACTACTAAGCTCCAGAATACCTTTAAAAAAAAAAAATCCAACCCAAACATAGAAGTTCACAGACCATCAAATTACTGTGATTTTCCTTGTTCCATTTTCCTAGACACTACTATGCAGACCCTCTCTAAATTTTATCCTTTCAAAATCCACATAAAAACACTGAACAGATAAATCTGAAACACTGAGATCTCAGAATTACAGTGTGATCACTGTACAATCAAGGAAGGCAGCCAGAATTCATAAAAGGAACAGGGAGAAGTGATCAGGATCTTTGAACAAAGGCTTAGTAAACAGAGGAGGCAGGTGTCCCATAGCAGCGGCAGGACTCCTGTTCCAGATCTCCCTGCTTCTGTGCTATCTGAAACAGCTTTTCTGGATAGGAAGACTCTGAACATTCAAATCTCCAAAGTCTGCCGACTCCTATATGTGGCCCTAAAAGGAGGGAGGGCTACACACGCTTATTGTGACCTAAAAAGAGCAACTTCTATAATAAAAAAGTTCATTTAATCCCAAATTAAGGTAATATCTTAATTTTAAAAAGCTTTTACACTTTATATACTAATATAATTCCTAGGGCTACTATTTTCACTAAAGAATAAAACTGAATATGCAGCTTTGACTTTTTAACAGTTTTTAGTTTCTTTTTCTTTCAAAAAGATTTATTTAATTCCACTTGATATTATTATTATTGTTATTTTTAAACTTTGACCAGACACAGACAGAGAGGGAGGGAAAGGGAAAGCGAGAAAGCAAGCTGCCAGGTCCGGGACTAGAACTGCAGTTGGCCATGTGAGAATCCAGCATCTTTAACCACCATGCCGCCTGCCAGCCCCACTTTTTCTTTATTAAACAAACAAACAAACAAGCAAACTGTTAAGATTGTTTTGGTGATAAAAAAATGCAAACATCTAAGAAAACATTAAAATTCATACTACAATCCCATGATTCTAACAAAAACCTTATCTACTTCTCAGAGTCTCTCCATCTATTGATAGCTCTTTATCCCTGAATCAAATACACATAAAGTTAACTTAAAGTTTAACATATCTCAAAACAAGTTTCCAAAGAAAATTACATAATTTCCTTTAATAGCTAATTCCAATGTGTTAGAGTATTCTTAACCCTTACAAACTCTAAAGTCAATCACTTCCTTTAAAAGCTGAGTCTGGGGGCCAGCAGGTGGCATAATGGTTATAGCGCTGAACTCCCACATGGCCAACTACAGTTCCAGGCCTAGACTGGTGGCTTAAAAATGCCAGCACATGTGCTTGCATGCCTCCAAATTCCAGGAGAAGCACAGAAAAGAAGGACTGTGAAGTGGTCATCTGGCTGGGGAGATGTGTCACTTTCCCTCTCACTGTCTCTCTCTGGGGAGCACACAAACACTATGGCAAAAACCTTAAAAAAAAAAAAAAAAAAAAAAAAGGGATTGAGCCTGAGCTAGTCTATGGCCTAGTGGTTAAGGGGGCTGGACTCCATATGGCTGACCTCGAGGTCCCAGTTCAGGACCTGGTGGCTTCAGAAATATACCAGGTACATACGCATGCATGCATGACCAAAATCCTGAAAGCAGGGAGAAACAGAGAGGAAATGTGACCATTTCCCATGGGGAGTATGTTCTCACTTCCCTCTGTCTCAGGTGAATGCAGGTGCCCTTTGGCAAATTAAATAAACTCTGGAACAAATGTTTCCCTTTAAAATAAATATAAATAATTAAGCTTTAATCATCAAATTCAAGGTGGCTAAACGTGGAGATATGAGACAAGAAATTTTTAGAGGGGATGGTAAGCAATTGTTGCTTTAAAGGAATACCAGAGGGACTAGCAGATGGGGTAATGGTTACATCACTGGACTTCCACATGGCTGACTGCAGTTCAAGTCCCAGACCCGGAGGCTTGAAACTCATGCTGGGCATGTATGTGTGCGTGTGCGTGCGCACACACCTAAAATTCAGAGAGAAGAATAGAGAAGGGATTGTGGTGTGGTCACACCTGGGGGTTGATTTCTCTTTCTGTCTGTCTCACTGGAGAGCACATACACCCTATAGCAAAAATCTCTTAAAAAAAAAAAAAAAAAAAACCAACCAGATTTGCAAAATAATGCACATTAAACTATACATTCTACAGTATTTTCAAATGTTCAATAATAATATACTGTAGAATCAAAAGTTTTGCATTCTCTAAAAAGTACAGCAACCCTGGGGCTATTAGGTGATGTAGTGGTTAAGGTGCAGGACTCGCGTATGGCCAACCACAGTTTGAGTCCCAGATCTGGTGGCTTGGAAATCATGTTTGGTGCCTATGTATACATGCCCAAAATCCCAGGAGAGTGGAAGAGAAGGGACTGTGGAGTGGCTAGGGGTGGGGGCTCCTCACTCTCTTTCTGTCTCTTTCTGTCTCTCTAGAGTGAGTATATGCACCCTATGACCCAAAACACACACCCCCCCCCAACAAACAAAAGTAAAGTAGCAACTTCAAAGTTTCTTACCTTTACAGTCTATCCAAAAGCAGGTAGTATTATCAATGCTGGTATTAAAACAGGAAACACAGCTATTTCGGTTTTCACAGGAATCTGGTGGACAAAATGCATAAAATCAATTAGCATTTCATCTGAGTTTATTCTACTTACCTTTTTGAATAATAAGCATTACATATATTGGGTTGTTAGAAAGTCATGATCTATTTTTTTAATGCAAAAATATGTCATGACTTTTCTGAGAACCCAATAGTACCACACCTGCTAATTTCACAAAAATGGTTAAAACCTTATAAACCAGTTTACTAAGAAATACCAAACAAACTATACAGCAGAGTAAGTAAACTCAAAAGGAAAACAAGCTAATGGGGAACCACTCAATATTGAGGTACCGAACAAACAATCCTTTTACACAGGTCAACTATTTGAGAGATAACCCAGTTACTCAAGGTTTCTCAAGGCCTTTTAAAATGAGTCCTTACAAGATAAGAATACCAAGAGAAAAGGCTATGAGACAAATACTACATGCAAAGAAACCACTATCCCAAAACATCTGATGAGATAGTGGGATTTTTAAAAAAAAAGAATTATTTATTTAATTCCATTTGTCATTATTATTATTATTTTTTAGTTTGACCAGACAGAGGCCGAGAGGGAGAAAGGGAAAGCGAGAAAGCAAGCCGCCAGGTCCAGAATTCCAATGATGGTTGGCCATGTGGGAGTCCAGCACCTTTTTCCACCATACCACCTGCTGACCCTGAGAATGTGGGATTTTTAATAGTAATTAAGATTTATTACAGGGTGAACCCAAGTTTCGATGATATCCATTTGGAAAACAAGTTAACTTCCCCCAGATCTGTGATTTATAAGTGATCCTCGCTTCACAGTATCTTCTGCAACTGGAGACATCTGGAAGGGCCACAATCGGGTTTTAACAAATTATAATAGAAAGGCATTTATTTGTCAATAGTTTATCTAAGCCAAAATGTTACAGAAATAATAACACTAAGGCAGCTAATTACAATTCAATGCCTGGACAAAGGAACTGTCTATGGATAGATAAGACGCCCTTCATGTTCTTTGAAACTAGAAGTCACCAACATTTTCATTTGCTGCCTGCCTGTCTGAAAAAACAGTTCCACAGAGGCACGGCCTTTTAATTAGTACATATTAAAGACTGAGACGTGTATGGTCCTCTAGAGAGGGGGGTGTGTGTCTGTGCCCACAAAGCAGAAATAAGTCCTTATAAACTCTTCTATGCTCAATGACCAAGTTCAGGGCTTGATGTTCTTTCCGACAAAGAAAACTTGCTACCTCTCAGGTCCCTGCTTATCCAACTGTGATTTCCAGAAAACACAAATTATCACCTGTGCGTGCCTTCCAATTACACACAATTAAGCTGGTATTTCCAGGTTTCTCTTAAAAAACAAAACAAGATGCCTATACAATTCTGAAAGGAGAAGTCAAATGAGAACTAAAACAATTCTGCTCCATCTCTTAAAAATCACATGGTTAGAATTTCCACCATGGTATTGCTATTTACTTTTTCAAATTAAAAAAAGTTATTTTTTGAATTCTACCATTATTTTTCTGAAGCTAACAAAAACACATGCTATGATGTTTCATAATATTAAGCTTTTATGACATACTAAAATGAGGGAGCACATTGTACCACAATATGACCAGCGTGAGAAAAAAGTAAAATCATTGCACTAAAGCGATCTTTCGGTCAGGAAGCCATGTTACGGTGCTAACTATAGAATAACCCATCGCACACTATTGGAGAATGGAGATTTCAAACAGCTACTGTTTCTTCATCTTATTACCGCAAACTTATCTTCCCTTTCCTCTTTGGTGTTACGGCATAAGTTAATTTCTGCTTTAAAATCTCTATACCTTAACCAGCGACGCTCGACGGCAGAGTTAACAAAAGGCGAGTTTCTGCCTGGGTTTTAAGAAAATCACAGATATGGTTGCAATCCCGACTGCACAGCCTACTACACAGACGGCCCTCAGGAAAACGACTTCATCCCCGCTCTCGCTGTACCTAAGTTTCGCTTCCTAGCTTCTACTTTAGCCCGTTGGTAAGATAGCAACGCGCGAGGTACAGTGACTACCTTCCTTCTTTACACCTATCATGGAGTAAAGGAAGTGAAGTTTCCACTAATTTCGTGCTCGCATCTCAGATATGTCCCTATCCACCAGCAAAGTCAACGCAAGGAAATCTCAAGCGACTTATGTTCTCAAACCCACGTCCGAGACACGGACTGGCACTCATGTCTTTAAGTTTCTCCTTTCCGCTTTTGCTTTCCGGAGAGAGTTGGATAAACCACCAAGTCCAGCGAAAGGGAGCTGGGTCTCGCCGCTAACTTCGGAAGCGCATCGCCGAGCCCCACCATCACCGCACAGCTGCCACCGCGGAAGGAAGCCACGTCCCCTGTTCCCAGCCTAAGGTGAGGCTAGGGATTACGATGCACTTTTTTTTTAACGCCTTCGAGTGCAACGCTCTCGAGTCGGAAATAGCCCATCGAGAGGAGTGGCCTGTCCGTCTCCTTCTCACCGAGTCGTTCTCACCCGCCGGCCACCCCGCGCGGGCCGCAGCCGGACTCGGGGCAGGCCGCCATGTTGCCGGAGTCGCCGCCGCACCCCGAGCGCTCGAGGAGGGCGTGCGGCGCGGGGCATGGGAGCGCGCAGGAGGCCCGCTGGGCCGGCGCCCACCGAGTGAGTATATGCACCCTATGACCCAAAACACACACCCCCCCCCAACAAACAAAAGTAAAGTAGCAACTTCAAAGTTTCTTACCTTTACAGTCTATCCAAAAGCAGGTAGTATTATCAATGCTGGTATTAAAACAGGAAACACAGCTATTTCGGTTTTCACAGGAATCTGGTGGACAAAATGCATAAAATCAATTAGCATTTCATCTGAGTTTATTCTACTTACCTTTTTGAATAATAAGCATTACATATATTGGGTTGTTAGAAAGTCATGATCTATTTTTTTAATGCAAAAATATGTCATGACTTTTCTGAGAACCCAATAGTACCACACCTGCTAATTTCACAAAAATGGTTAAAACCTTATAAACCAGTTTACTAAGAAATACCAAACAAACTATACAGCAGAGTAAGTAAACTCAAAAGGAAAACAAGCTAATGGGGAACCACTCAATATTGAGGTACCGAACAAACAATCCTTTTACACAGGTCAACTATTTGAGAGATAACCCAGTTACTCAAGGTTTCTCAAGGCCTTTTAAAATGAGTCCTTACAAGATAAGAATACCAAGAGAAAAGGCTATGAGACAAATACTACATGCAAAGAAACCACTATCCCAAAACATCTGATGAGATAGTGGGATTTTAAAAAAAAAAGAATTATTTATTTAATTCCATTTGTCATTATTATTATTATTTTTTAGTTTGACCAGACAGAGGCCGAGAGGGAGAAAGGGAAAGCGAGAAAGCAAGCCGCCAGGTCCAGAATTCCAATGATGGTTGGCCATGTGGGAGTCCAGCACCTTTTTCCACCATACCACCTGCTGACCCTGAGAATGTGGGATTTTTAATAGTAATTAAGATTTATTACAGGGTGAACCCAAGTTTCGATGATATCCATTTGGAAAACAAGTTAACTTCCCCCAGATCTGTGATTTATAAGTGATCCTCGCTTCACAGTATCTTCTGCAACTGGAGACATCTGGAAGGGCCACAATCGGGTTTTAACAAATTATAATAGAAAGGCATTTATTTGTCAATAGTTTATCTAAGCCAAAATGTTACAGAAATAATAACACTAAGGCAGCTAATTACAATTCAATGCCTGGACAAAGGAACTGTCTATGGATAGATAAGACGCCCTTCATGTTCTTTGAAACTAGAAGTCACCAACATTTTCATTTGCTGCCTGCCTGTCTGAAAAAACAGTTCCACAGAGGCACGGCCTTTTAATTAGTACATATTAAAGACTGAGACGTGTATGGTCCTCTAGAGAGGGGGGTGTGTGTCTGTGCCCACAAAGCAGAAATAAGTCCTTATAAACTCTTCTATGCTCAATGACCAAGTTCAGGGCTTGATGTTCTTTCCGACAAAGAAAACTTGCTACCTCTCAGGTCCCTGCTTATCCAACTGTGATTTCCAGAAAACACAAATTATCACCTGTGCGTGCCTTCCAATTACACACAATTAAGCTGGTATTTCCAGGTTTCTCTTAAAAAACAAAACAAGATGCCTATACAATTCTGAAAGGAGAAGTCAAATGAGAACTAAAACAATTCTGCTCCATCTCTTAAAAATCACATGGTTAGAATTTCCACCATGGTATTGCTATTTACTTTTTCAAATTAAAAAAAGTTATTTTTTGAATTCTACCATTATTTTTCTGAAGCTAACAAAAACACATGCTATGATGTTTCATAATATTAAGCTTTTATGACATACTAAAATGAGGGAGCACATTGTACCACAATATGACCAGCGTGAGAAAAAAGTAAAATCATTGCACTAAAGCGATCTTTCGGTCAGGAAGCCATGTTACGGTGCTAACTATAGAATAACCCATCGCACACTATTGGAGAATGGAGATTTCAAACAGCTACTGTTTCTTCATCTTATTACCGCAAACTTATCTTCCCTTTCCTCTTTGGTGTTACGGCATAAGTTAATTTCTGCTTTAAAATCTCTATACCTTAACCAGCGACGCTCGACGGCAGAGTTAACAAAAGGCGAGTTTCTGCCTGGGTTTTAAGAAAATCACAGATATGGTTGCAATCCCGACTGCACAGCCTACTACACAGACGGCCCTCAGGAAAACGACTTCATCCCCGCTCTCGCTGTACCTAAGTTTCGCTTCCTAGCTTCTACTTTAGCCCGTTGGTAAGATAGCAACGCGCGAGGTACAGTGACTACCTTCCTTCTTTACACCTATCATGGAGTAAAGGAAGTGAAGTTTCCACTAATTTCGTGCTCGCATCTCAGATATGTCCCTATCCACCAGCAAAGTCAACGCAAGGAAATCTCAAGCGACTTATGTTCTCAAACCCACGTCCGAGACACGGACTGGCACTCATGTCTTTAAGTTTCTCCTTTCCGCTTTTGCTTTCCGGAGAGAGTTGGATAAACCACCAAGTCCAGCGAAAGGGAGCTGGGTCTCGCCGCTAACTTCGGAAGCGCATCGCCGAGCCCCACCATCACCGCACAGCTGCCACCGCGGAAGGAAGCCACGTCCCCTGTTCCCAGCCTAAGGTGAGGCTAGGGATTACGATGCACTTTTTTTTTAACGCCTTCGAGTGCAACGCTCTCGAGTCGGAAATAGCCCATCGAGAGGAGTGGCCTGTCCGTCTCCTTCTCACCGAGTCGTTCTCACCCGCCGGCCACCCCGCGCGGGCCGCAGCCGGACTCGGGGCAGGCCGCCATGTTGCCGGAGTCGCCGCCGCACCCCGAGCGCTCGAGGAGGGCGTGCGGCGCGGGGCATGGGAGCGCGCAGGAGGCCCGCTGGGCCGGCGCCCACCTGGTACTGGAGTGGGGACAGGCGAGAGCGACGTCACCGGCGTCACGGTTATGTTGGTGGTGGTCGCTGAAGTCAAGATCGGAGCGAGAGTGGTGTTCTGCGCCGCCGACAGCACACAGAGCGCCACCAGGCAGGTGGCGGCCCAAAGCAGCGCGCGGGAGAGCCCCGACATCGTGTCTTCAGCGCTGGGGTCTGGGCGAAGGCTGCGGCGAACAACGCTCGGTCGGTCCCTCCGTCCCCTGCGGCGCCGCCTCCGAGACTTCGCTCCCCGCGGGAGCGCGCGGGGTCACGTGAGCGGCCCCAGTCCGCGGCGTGCGGGCGCAGGCGGGGCGGAGGCGGGGCGCGGGCGGTACCAACGGGGCGGCTGCGGCGGGGGGAGCAGGGGGGGCGGCTCTCGCCGG